AAAGTTAACTATAACCGAATAAAAGAAGCCGGCCAAGAGGCCACCTTAACACCAAAAAAAAAAAAAAAAAAAAAATATGAATATAATACTCATAATACGGCTTGTTATATTAAAGACCAAAACCATCTCCAATTAACATCTCTGCTTTTATATTTATAGGCACAGGATGTGGTTAGTATTAATATTTATAAGATGATAAATCAGAAAATTTGATAATAAAAGTTTAAATATAGAAACCAAATGATACTTGGATTTGGTAAATTCGAAACTTGAATATTCTATAGAATAGGTACTAAATTCTACTAAATATCACGTGAATATATTAAAAAATTAACGATTACTAATCATCGGCGAAGCTTATTTCTTATATTGCTTATCTATTTTATAAAACATCCTATAATAGTATGTATAATACATGTAAATACATATAATAAATATATATTATATTAATAAATATATATTAATATATATATTACAGAATGCTAGAGATGTAACAGTAGAAGTCTCACCTTTCTACTCTGTATTCAGAATGGCTTATGCTATTAAAGTCAATAAACAATTGAATATTTCACAACCAACATCTTTAATTTCTGATTCAGTTCCAACCCTTCATGAGTTTTTTGAAAAACTAAATAAAGCTTATAATGATGGTAACAATGATTATTTAAAATTGGAAGCAGCATTTGCAAGAGAAAAACTAACTGTAAATGGTATTAAAGATTTAAATGACGAATATCTAAAGAAAGAACTAGAGGTTACAAAATGTGGATAGCTAATAAATATTAAACAAGCTGCAAGCAAATATTAATGCAGTAAGTTATATATATATATATATATATATAAATTATAATGTTTTTATATATTTTTCTAGGATTTTATAAATTTTGCAATTAAATTTTAGCACAAATTTTTATGTAGGGTTAATATTTGTATTAGAATGAGAGTTTTGAAAAAGTTTGGGGATATAGAACAATTTTACTTAGAGTATCACATAATAATTAATTAGCCTGTTATGCGTTTTATATTAAATAAAATAAATAAAAGCAAATATTTTTGCATAATCGTTATCGTTATCGTTATGGTTTAAGAAAAAAAAAACCTAAAAGTCTTTAATATCTCAAAATTTTATTAAAAAAACCAATATAATGCTTCTAAGTAAAAATATTTAGCATCTTTAATTCTAATCCCAAATACCAACCCTAATAACTATATAGAGCAATATTTTTCTGAGTACTATACTCTATGAGAAATTTTTTATTTTTTATTTTTTATTTTGGATTGTATTACTTGTACGTAAATATACCCTGCATATTAGGTAATAACCTTAATTTTATAGCCTGGTCAATAATGAGAACAAATAAAAATTAGCTAATATAACTAAATACGATAATTTTAATATAACAATAATAAAAAACTTACTCTAAATAACCTGATCTATGAAAAAAATTTGCTACCATTTCGGGTGCGATTTGTATGCATGCTACCCTAAATGTATAAAATGAGTCTGTAGTAGCATTCATAAAATTTCTATTTTTCTAGATCTAGCTTTTTACAATACTAAAAGCTGTTTTAATTGGGTTAAAGTTCGGAGAATAGGGTGGTAAGAAAATCACATAGCCCCTAGTTCTTTCACTATTTCAACAAAATTTATATTTTGATGAATTGTTGCATTATCAAGAACAATAATGCTATTTCTTTCTGGGAAGGTATTCATCATTAGAACCTATTATTAAATATATATATAATTCAAATTAGTCATCCAACTATTATATACTATATAATTAATATTATTAATTTTAATCACATGACCGTTTACTACCAGAATCCCTTAACTTACCACTTGGGTTAAAATAAATTCACAGAACTGCTCTTTATTACAACTTCCTTCCATAATATCGACTGCTAGAAAACCATCAAGTGAAAGAGCAAGTAGAATTGTATACCTTTTGCCACAAATGAAAACAGTCTTTTTGCGTGTATGAACATTTATAGATGCATAGCCATAATGTTTATTTAAACTATAATTATCCTTTGCAGCTTTGTCTATAAAAATTAATTGGTCTGGATGATAATTTGTCTCAATTTTGGCAAGAAAAGCACTTCTTAAAAGCTCATTTCTTTTAGAGGCTATCTTGTGTAGCTAATTAAAAAATCAAATACTACTATAGTTTCTATAACTCTTAATATTAATTGCTATTATTGCTAGTAATGACACATTTTTTACCTTTTTATAGAAGATACTACAATATTGTAATGAATACTATCTCTTAAACTATAATGCAGGCAAATTTGCTTGCTAAAATTTTTTTTGTTGTTGTTTTTTATAATTACTTAAAATTTTATTATGCTTA